AATAGCAGACGGCGGGCGAGTGGGCGACTTACAAGTTACAGACAGAGGCAATTCGCGAGCGGATGATGAAGCTTGAAGTGGAGTCCAAGGCAGGCAAGCACCGAGCTGCAACCGACCGAAGGCTGGCTGCCGGCTGGAGAGGCAGAGTTCAAGCTTGAACTCGAGGAAAGGGTGATTTCGCTTCAAATGGGGAGACGCGGTCGCGGAGGTGAGAGATTGAAGTCGATGGTAATGATTCAAGGCAGGATTTGGTCTGGAAATGAGCGGATGCGGTGTTGGGCCTGGGTGGAGTGTTTTTGTTTGAAGTTTGGGTCGGGAAGTTGGGCCATTATCTTGGGCCAGTTACAATAATTAAAAAAAAAACTTGAAAACAAAAAAAAATTATAGGGTCATTTGACCCCACATGACCCCATGTGGGTCCGCCCCTGTGTCTCTCTCTGGCATATATAAAATATTGTCATTGGTTCATCTGCCAGAATTTGCATTTGGTAGAAAGCAGCTTTCCTATAATTTCATACAGGACATGTCAATGCACGTAGAATTAACTTTAATTAACCTCCAACTCTATCCAGTAAGATCAAGAATAATAAGAGCTAATATCATATATTTGTTCCTCTCATTAGTACGTAACAATTATTTTCTTGTTGTGACATCATTGATGACCGATCGACATTGAGGTTAAATAGTGTTAAGAGATAAAATCTCACATCGAATAAAAATTAAAATATAGATCAATTTATAAGAGTTTTGGTTATTTCTCTTAATAAGGTTGACATTTTAAGATGGAACATCAAATCTTAACATGGTATCAGAGCTCATTAAGCTCAAACGAGCAATTCGATCCGATAAAGACAAGACGAAAATTGAGCACACGGATTTCAAGATTGGACTGCTCGAACGAGCCACCGTCTTGCAGTTACGTTAAGGGATAAAATTCAATATCGAATAAAGATGAAAACATAGACCAACTTATAAGTGTTTGGACTATTCCTCTTAAGAAGGTTGACCTTTTAAGATGGAATCCAAAATCTTAAAATACAATACATCCAACAAGCATACCCAAATGTAAGAAGCATTTGAGCTGATCCATTTATTAATTCAACCAGATGAGTGTCGCTAAATACTTCAGCTGGTTGCTAAGAAATGAAAAACAAGTTTTCCTCCAATCTTGGGGAAGTTGTTACCATGACTTGCCAGTAAATTGATCTCATCACGAGCTTTATAAGACCTTAGGTTTATGGATTGTCCAACTTACGCACCTCGACACCACAGTTGAAGGCTGATGATCAGAGAAATGCTGAAACAAATCAAAAGAAAAGACCATCTTTAAAACGTACACTTCTCCTGTAACACTTCTTCCTGTACATAGAAGAATTTTGTCTATTTGTAGTTTTTGGCTAATAAGGAAGTTCTTCTTGTATCCAACGTAATTTATTACCTCTTAGCAGTATCATTTGGTTGTAAACAGGGAAAGGCAAGGCTGCTGAGTTTGTTATCAGTCATAAATCACATAGGAAAAAAGTGGTTCAGTAGTATCAAATTTCCTTCCATCCTCAAAACTCTTAAGAGCGTGGCTTGTCGATCTATGAGAACTGGATAGGTGTGATTCTTTTATATGATCGTGCTGCATAAATTTGTAAATATCAACTGGGGCAAGAGTTTTTTTAATCTGTGAGTTGAAATTCTGTTGTTTAATTCCATTAACATGCCCCTTTACTGTAAAATAAATGAATTTGGTAGTTGATTTGCAAATTTGCAATCTCACTATGATTTTGGGCATAAATATTTGGACTTGTATATCACACACGTTTACTGGATATAGGATATAAATTTTGTAGATTTGATTAAGTCTGTCTGAGGAGCTCGAAGGACACCCATTCATTTTCTAGATTTCTTCCCTGGAGGTCCTGTCTTATTGATCTTGCTTGTTTGGGTCCCTACACGCTGTGGTTTCTTGATCTGTTTATTTACTCGATTTTTCATGTTATGTTTGTATCCTATTTCTATGAGCCTCTTTCATCACTTAAAAGAGTATGGACGTGGTTGTAACTTCCTGTGTTTTAGGCATACCATAATCTGTGCTTTACTTTGAGAAAATTTTCCATTTTCTCTTTCTTTAGTTGCTGACATTTATTCTGAACGATCATTATCATTATTTCAGTATAAGAGTTCTGTAATTCGCTCAGATTCTGAAATCATATTTTTAAGATTCTAGTGATGGTGCAAAAACTCCTCTTCAGAACCGCGATACAGATGATGATGGGAATCCTATTTACAATTTTCTTTATCCTAGTAAAGAGCTCCTTCCTGATGATAAAGATATGAGCAGAGACCGGGGGGTGGGGGTGGGGGTGGGGGTGGGGGGCATTGTCCGCTGGTCCACTATTCCTAGTTAATTTGTAATGTATTTTTTAGTTTCGCCCCCACAAAATTTCGAAATTTTTTTTTCCATTAATAAATATTGACCTAATAAATTACACTTTAAAATTCAACCAATCAAAAATTTTAGACCTAAACAAAAGATCTAATAGTTACTTAAATAAATAAATAGCTCAAGTCCAATCCAAAAGCAAATGACCCATATATGATTTCTTTATATAGAGCAGGTCGAGGGAGGATTTCTAAGCAAAAAGATTCTATCACTTTGCAATATCATTACAAAATTGACTTGTTTCTTGCAGTAGTTGATTTTCAAGTTCAGGAGTTAAGAGATAGATTTAATGAAGATGTGGTGGAATTGCTTATTCTTAGCTCATCATTAGATCCTAGAGACGGCTACAAGNTCAACCATACAAAAATTTTAAACCTAAACAAAAAATCAAATAGTTACTTAAATAAATAAATAGCCCAGATCCAATAGATGTGTGCCAACTGTTGGCATTGATAAGAAAATGAATGAGTTATAATCTTGTTGATAGATTGATTCGTCTTGTCTTGACTCTTCCAATTTCAACAACGACTACAGAACGTGCATTTTCAGCTATGAGTGTTATTAAGACAAGATTGCGTAATAGAATGGAAGATGATTTTTTGTCCAGTACCATACTTGTGTATATAGAGAAAGAGATTGATGATACTTTTCCATTATATTCTCTTATTGACGAGTTTGAAGTGATGAGGATAAGGAGAAACCAATTTCGGATGTCCAAGCCATCTCTACCATCTGTTGTATAGATAGGTAGTTTACTTTTTGTCTTTTTGATGTCCATCTAACGTTCATGTTTTCAATTTTTATAACGTTACACATAGATTGACATATTGTTTTTGTNTTCATGTTTTCAATTTGTATAGCGTTAGACACATAGATAAACATATTGTTTTTGTATCGACAAACTGATTGTATTTTTGGCCAGTCAAACTAATTTTCCTATTTTGGTACTCAAAATCGTCGTTTTCAATCCTCTTAGCTAAAAAAATTTTCGGGGCCCCCGCAAGATTGAAATACTAGCTACATCCCTGGATATGAGTATATATGATCATTTAGAAGAGTTGAGACAGAGAATTTTCAAGTCAGTTTTCGCCGTTGGAGCTGCTATGCTTGGTTGTTTTGCATTCTCAAAGGAACTTATTATATTCCTTGAAGCTCCAATTAGCACACAAGGTGTTCGATTTTTGCAACTAACTCCTTCAGAGTTCTTCTTCACATCTCTAAAGGCAGATATTTTTGTCATCGATATCTCTTTGTTCCATAAGTGAATCTGTAGTTCTCTTTTCATTTGGATTAAGTAAAATTTATCACTTAATTATTGTTGCCATTCGGACTTCTGGTCATCTAAAACTTCAGCTTCTATCTCTAGTTGTACTTTCTTATCTGTGTCTATTACCTGTAATGGGAATTCCAAAGCTCCCATTTAGCCCCTGAAGTTATACATGTACAGCTGGGATTAAATGAACCTTTCGTGGAACCTAATCTAGAGGTAAAGTTTTTCTTGATCTTAGACATGACATATTAGCATATGTGTTTTCTGCATGAAATCTATCCCTTGTTAGTGATAGTTTCTAATTAGAGTAGATATATTGTCAAAAAGGGTGCTCAACTTGACGACTGCAGTTAGATTGTGCCTTGGTTCTGTTTCCAAACAAGGGAGTGACACAAGTGCTTTTGTCATTCCACTTTCTATTTATCTTAGGTAACGGCCATTGTTGGCAAAAGTTTAATAAGTGAGTGATTCATATGACAGGACTAATGTTTTCTTCTCTACATTGCTTCACCTCTTATCTTATGCCCTTTCAAGGTTTCACTAATTTCAATTTAAGATCTGTGTATAGTTTTGGCAGGTTGCGGAATATAATTATATTCGAGTAGCCTTTTTATTCATAATTGGATTAGATGTTTAACTTTCTGATATAACTAATCACTCTTTTGAGTCAAAAATTAGTGTGCAATCTGAAAATAAACAGTTTATTCTACTTCAAAAGCTGTTAGCAATTACATAGTTTATCTACGTCAGGAAGTGTCACTCATGCTCTCGTTGAAGTTCAAGATATAATCCTTCATGTCCAGGGTTGAAGTTTAGATCTAATCCTTCTTTAAGAATGGGTTTCATATTTTAATTCATCTTAGAAAAACAGAGTATTTCTTATTTTATGAAAATTCAAGTTATTCCCTTCATAGTCTCGGCAAACTTTGAACATCTGCTGAAAAGGAACACTTACAGTATGTCCAGTCAGTAGCCCCTTCATAGCAATAGTTTTTTTTTTTTTTTTTTTTTTNGTAAATCAGAAGTGTTGGGATGACTGTTTTTGTTTCTTTTTTACTTTTTGTTGTACAGAATAAACAATTTCATATTTGATGCAGGTTTCAGGATATTGTGGCCTCCTATTAGGAAGCACTGTGATTCTCTATGAGATGATATCGTTTGTTCTTCCGGGTTTAACAAAGGAAGAGAGAAGATTCTTGGGGCCAGTTGTCCTAGGGTCCTCAGTTCTTTTTTATGCTGGCCTAATCTTCTCTTATTACGTTCTCACTCCAGCAGCGTTTTTGTTAGTTACGCAGAAGGGGTTGTTGAATCACTGTGGTCTATTGATCAGTACTTTGAATTTGTCCTTGTGCTCATGTTTAGCACTGGATTATCTTTCCAGGTAAAGTTTATTCTTTATCTGCATTATCTCTTTCATTCAGAATATTATGTTTCAATAATATTATTGTGACTTGCTAGATATGGTTGTAAGTATTAATCACAGTGTTAATTGCAGTTTACCCCTTTTCTGTTGTTTATTTTGTTGATTACCTACATTCTAGTTTGAATTAAACTCCTCTGTGTTTACTACATCTAGTTATATTTGTGTAAAATTACTGATGTATTCTCACTGCTTTTTGAATATTTTGATGTTTATACTTAAATAGTGCTGATCGCTGACCTTCCATTATAAATTTTCTTTTGTCTTCTATAGTGGTGAAATGACTATTCTATCCACAAAGATTGCTTGGACTATTTCTCAAAGGTTATGGAAGTCATTTCCTTCATAAACTAATAAAGCTACGTCATGTTTGGGTTGGAAAGAACGGTTTGGTTTTTACAATATTGCTATCTAAATCAGTCTCTGTTTGTGCTCAAGTACAATTTCAAATGTGGCATTTGAATGAGTGTATTGTTTACAGGCTAATGTTTCTCTGGTGATGTAATTATGTGGCACCATTCTGCTCCTTGCAGAGAGGAACAGTTGGTCGATTTGATAGGAATGGATAAGAAGTTTTGAAGGTTGAGGAACACCATCTAATTATCTGATTGGAAGAAATAGGTGCAAAAAGATAATAATGTTTGAAAGATGCAAAAAAAGTTTGAACAGCTCGATTGGATCAAATTGTTTAAATCTCGGATCAATATTTCTTCTTAACAAATTGATTGATGTCTCGTCTTTTTGTCGTCCTCTACAGGTTCCAGTAATACAGCTGCTTCTTGGGCAACTGGGCTTGTGTCATCAGAACAGATGCTCTCTGTTTGGAGATATGTAGTGGCAGGTGCAGTGATAGCTGCTGCTATACTCACACCATCAACAGATCCTCTTACTCAACTGCTGCTGGCTGGCCCCCTTACGAGTCTTTATTTGGGTGGAGCATGGATGGTAAAGCTTCTTGGCCAATGATCTACTTTACAAAAGTTGATGTGATACCCAAGTTTTATATGGTGTAGGCAGTTTACCAAGTTTCCAGGGATGCCCACATTCAAGAAAATGCCCATATAAGTTATCAAACCGAGCTCAGTTTGTTTCTTCTCTATTATCTATCCTTTGGTAGTTTATACATTATAATCATTTGCTAGTATGAGCTCCAGTGGTTTGCCTTATATTAGTTTGGTTACAAAGGGGTCCGTAGTCGGGTTTTGGAAATTTTTGTACCGTTGCTTGAAGAGAGAATGGGGTTTAACAATGTTGGCGACTTGGTGGAAGAAACCTGTTTCTTATGTTTGGTGTTCCATACCATAGTACCTTTGTGACCATGTCTCCAAGTGACTGTTGATTGAGCTAAAATGCTCATTTACACTGTTTTGCTGTTCTATACCTTAGTACCTCAATTTTTTTTTTTTTTTTTTGATGTATCATTGCACTTGATGAAGAACTTATTGTTGTTTGTCGTTAATAGGGACACTGAAACAAACTCATTAGAATATTTCAAAAATCAGGTGATAAATAAATTTATTAAATATTAAATATAATATAATATACATTAATTATTTCTATTCATGTCACCTCACCTACCACATTCTATGACCCTATTACACCACCTTCCCTCCACCTCTCCATCGGAGATGGCCATTAGCTTCGGCAGCCTCTCCGGCGACTTCTTTGGCAACCACTCAGCGACTGCTCCGACGGTCACTCCAGTAACTGTTCTGGCGGCCGCTCCGATGACTCGAATATTTCCAGAAAATTAAAAATTGAAAATCACACCCCCACCCCCATGGATCCACCTACCACCACCCCATCCCTGCCTCCACCTCCTAAAAAATTGACAAAAAAAAAAAAAAAAAAATTGTGTTCAGTGTGACTGTATATGACTAATTGTGACCAAGTGTGTATTCAATGTGACTAACTGTGATCAAATTTGTGTTGAGTGTGACTGTCTGTGACCAGGTCAATCTTAAGTCACAATCGATCACAATCAACACAAAATCGATCACAATCGGTCACAATCAAACGATTGAGAAAGCAACTAACCTTACCACCAACACAATCCTAACAACTCTAACTACTACTGAAACTCAAACAATTGGGCGGATGGATTTGCGCAGAATTTGTAACAATAATATCAATAGAATCATCGATTGGAGCTGAAACAGAGCCTTCCGCGGATGGATTTGAGCTGATTGAATTCGAAGTGTGAAGTTTTAATTGATACAATTGGCTGATTACCCATAGATTTACCAGTGTCAATTGAATTTTTGCTTGGTCGAATTGAACAGTTGTAGTAGCACAGGTTCATCAAATTCATAAGTGCTGGATTTCTCGCATAGGGCTCTAGCTGCTACTATAAATTCGTCAAATTCTAGGCTAAATTGAGCATGATCCATGCCTGGGCAAGGTGCGCCAGGTGAAGAGGAACAAAGCCCAGGTGGTCCGCCATCGTGGGTAGGTCGGACGGCGCCGAAATCTGCAGTTTTCTCTCCCTGTATCTCGCGCGTCGCCACTGAAGCTCATTCCATTTTCTTAAGCCTTCAAACATCTCTTGCAGAAACCAACTTAATAAACAATGGCACATGTTCCAACCACAAATCCATAAAAATGTTTAGAACATCCATACCCGTGCAATGCCCGCACATGTAGCAGTAGCCTTCATCCTTTTCTTATTACTAAATCTCGATGCCAGCCTGACCACCGACCTCCACCGAGCATTCGCATTCAGATCAAATCCCTCAAAAACTTGTCCTNAGCATTCGTATTCAGATCAAATCCCTCAAAAACTTGTCCTAACATCTCTGTAATTATACCCTCCCCTAATGCATATCCAGATACCTCCATCTCCTCAATCTCAAGCCTTTCGAATATTTCAGCCAATAAAATTGTTCCAGCCAAAATGAACCCAGCTCGACTGTCTGCCGGCGTTCACAGGAGCGTCGGTGGTCGCCAATGATGGCGCAAGGAAGGACAACAGAGAGAGAGAGATGCGAGAGAGGGGGTGGGAAGAGACGATTCGGAGATAGAGATAAACAAGAGACGGGATTGAAAATGAGGTTTTAATTATTAATTTAATTAACACCTGATTTTTGAATTTGAAAACTTAAATACCTTATTTTAGGTAATTTTCTCTTTAATTTAAGTTACAAATTTATATACAATTATAAATTCTTACATTGTTACGATGTTATATTAACATGGAATTACAGCATGAGTTACTATTTACTATTGAATACTATACAAGGGCTTTGACGTAGATTTTTGGAATGTATGGTTAAAAATTAGGAAGAAATTATGGATTCACGTGGAAAATAATTTTATTAAAAAAATGTATTTTTGAAAATGATTTGAAAAAAAAAAATTAATTTTAAAGAATTTGTATCTAACAGTATCTGAAGAGAACTAGAGAGCTTCAATAAGACACTTCCATTGTCGATTTGATGAGTGCAGCATAAGTAATAAGTAAAGAGAAAAAATTGAGAAATACACTGGTTTATCAATTATATTTTTGATATTGTATTATATTAAACAGTGGGGTATATGATGTTGGAGACAAAATTGAGAAATACACTGGTTTATGTATTCTTATATCTAGCTTCGTATATTATTTGATGTTGGATAATTACAAAGAAGGCAAGTTTGATTTTTTCTAAACTCTTATTTTAATTTTGCTGTAACATAAACGCATCAATTAACAAAGTTTTTTATAACATATTTGGATAAAAGTCGATGAAATATTGATTGAAAAGTTGATAAAATCGTATCTTATAAAAATTACAATTAATTAACTTGTTCTACCAAAATTATATAAGTATTATAAACAGTGTTATTTAAGTCACGAGATATAATATATTATATAATTATTAACATATTGTAACACTTACTTTATTTGAGTTTGGCACTTGACCATAAAGGAAGATGAATGTAGATGTAAGAACTACAATACAAATTGACAAAGATGAATATGCCTTCAAGAGTTGACTAATGTTTCATAATTCATAGAGGAAGTTCTGGTCTTTTTGCACCGTTTCACAATTATTATTTAAAATTATTTTTACTACACGTTCATTTTCAACCATATAATTATACAATAAAATATTCTTTTCATAAATCTAAAACTTTTTTATATTTTTTAATCACAAGTTCTTCAAAAATCACTATTCAAAACATTGTTCTTTGAACATAATAGCTATCAAACATGGACTTAATAAATCTATATATTCAATTGGTGCCAATTGCATGTCATGTAATAGTAAATTTTTGAGATAACTCATCTCTCCATTGATGAGGTTGGACCCCTTGCTTTGATTTTAGTATTTTAATTTTATTTTGTTTTAAATATGAAAAAAAGTTTGACACAAGTAAATTTAATCTTCTTCTACAAATTTTACGAAAAACTTTCTCAAACAACCCGGAAATAAATAAATGAGTGGCCACTAAAGTTTATTCTTGGTTACTACTTGCTCACCGAAAAATAAAAGATTACCTAATGCTCACTGAACTATTCATTTATTTACCCATCGATCACCATGGTCATTTCCCGTTTATACAATAGACAAAAAATTCCATGTGGAAAAATGAAATGGCACACGGAGTCAATTAATCATTTCACGTGGTTGTAAATTGTTTTAGATAAACACGACTTCTCCAACTCGAAACCACGACATCTTCAATCAAAATAAAAAGTTCTCTAATCAAACCCACAAATTGAAATCAAATTCATCCCCAAATCATCCCAAATCCTAGGGTTTCTCCACAAACTAATTACTTTGTATCCATATCCAAGAAGTTCAACATCTACATTCCCAATTCATATAATTTTTTGCAATTCACATTTGGTCCCAAATCAGCGCGAACCCTTGGTTTGTTCTCCAAATCAATTTCTGCAATTGGAAAATGGACAGTTGCATCCTCATCGTAGTATTTCCAAGGAGTCTGGCATTTGAAATTGACATTTGAAGAACAATTATGGTTGTTTTAGGTGGTAGGTTGGTGGCGCTACCTGGAAGTTGCAGGGACATAGAGGTGTTGTTCTTGATGCCGATTTTTGAATCGCAGTGCTTTTTTGTTTTTTTGGCATATTGTTAGTGTAAAGATGTAGGGATATAGGGGTGGGGATGTTAGGATGTTGGAGTATTATTAGTGTAGGGATGTAGATGTTCTTCTTGTTTATAAATTGCAGTTTGTAATTGAATGGCCAAATAGTCCAGTTTATGAATTGGCAGTTTGTTGGTATACTGTTTTGTGAAGTTTTGATTTAAGGTGTTTTGTTGTTTGAATTGACAGTCTAGTTTATGATTGCTGTTAATATATTGCAAGTTATTTTTCCTAATTTTGGAAGTGGACATGAAAATCATAAGCAGCGTTGTTAGAATTACAAGAGCATTAATTAGAAATATATAAATGCTTGAGCATTTAGTTAGAGATTTTGCATTGTTAGCTTAAGGCTCATATTTCAGATATTTGGTGCATCTCCAGTAACACCATGCAAAAATTTGTTACAGGGGGATTAACCAATGGTGCACTTCAAAAAACAATGCAATTCTTCCCTGGTTTAGTGTCTCTTGTAGTGCAGAAGCAACACTAAGAAGCAAGTAGGAACATAACACATCTACACCCTCGTATAATTTGTCACTAAACACATTAACACCCTTGTAAACAAGCAGGAACAAGGTACGCTAGTAGTTGCTGGTAAAAGACACTAAAATCCATTAAAACAGCAGTACTAAGCCATCAGGAGAAAAACATCAGCAAAAATTCATCAGAACCAATGAATTGATAAATTCGGCTGAAAATCCATTAAAATAGCAGTAATAAATCTTACATCATCAGTAAAAAGCCACCAGCAAAATGGAACTTTTTTACATTAATAGTTTCAGCTTCTTGACACAAAAACAAAAATACAACTATCTTTCACTACAAAACTACAGCACAATTGTCAAACTAGAATAGAATTCTGATAGTTGCTACCG